CGTCTGGCTACAAGAATGCCAGATAAGCTAAAATAGTTAAAACTTACACGCGTTCGATTCGAACAGAGTCGCTGGAGCACCTGTCCTATAAAATAAGAATCAAAAATCAAAATCAAAAATTGTTGATTGTAATCCATCAAATAATTTCTTGTGGGCGATTCAGTGATCCAAACACGTGACAGTCAGACGTGTAATTGCAGCCTCAGGGATAGGGATCAGTTGCATGAGTGGAGCAAGTTGCAACCCGCGAAAGCAAATTGCTCAGCTTATTCCTGTCGGGGAAGGGGGGTACTTTACAAAGTTCTATACGGAGAGGGTCTAGTCCCTGACCATTTTAAATACCATTTTGATAGGTACCCCTTTCAAATGCTTTCATGACTGTATTATGAATAAATCACCATAAAAGGAAGTATTCCCTTCATTTTCATGTACAGTAGTGCCTAATAAATGAAATGATACAGCCATAAGGTGCATCTGTTCTAAATATTTTAATTGAAGGCCCTTTTAAATAACCAAGTGACAGATGACAGATTTCCCTTTCATATACCTCATCTAGCGAAATCCCTACCCTGTCATAATTATACCTGAAGCCTGAAAACGGTACCCCTTCCGGGCAGAGCCTCCCTGTATAGGCCATTATAGGGAGTACCCCCCGGAGCTCATTTCGTACCTCGTAATCACGACTTGTTGTGATTTCCAAAATGCTTATGGGCTCCTGCCGTATTTTAAGGATAGATTCAGTTTGCAAGCTGCTGCTTTGAGGAGTCGATCACTCGGCAACCAAAACTGGACAGAACATCCGAAGATCGATATTTCTCAATTTTTGTCCCAAATAATCAGCTTTTAATTTGGTCCCTGATATTAACTTTAAACGTTAAGGCATGTGCGACTGTTTTGGGCTGAATTATCTTATGACGGCTTACCCCATTTAAGCATTCCGGGCAGGCCTTGTCGAAGCTGTTCTTGTATGCCTCAACTTCGGTTTTCAAGGTAATAATTCTGTGGAATGAAAAACGACTACAATAAGCGGTAGCTAGCATCTGTAACACCAAATTTGTATTCCGATCTATTATTATTTAACTTGTGTATGAAACGCGATGGCCACATTGTTAATTAGTGCGTTCTTTTCCGGATCGAACGGTTGGGGGTCAAGCCCTGGTCAGAGATATTGTGTTGTGTTGTGTTGTGTTACTCTCAAAGTGCCTGAGTACCGGCGAATGCTGGGTGGTTACCCTGGGATGGACTAGCATC